GCTTGCTTGAAACAATAGATTCTCATTGTTCTTTACGTAGCAGTTACCAGCTGATAAAATATAATCATGAGGACAGTCTGTTTACTCCTATAAGAGAATGTGTGTAAAAGTTGTGGACACAGGCGCCCGATCCTCCAGGTTCCCCAAATCTGCCCAGGAGACTATTTGGGAAGACGGAGGAAGGTCCCACATCCCAGTTAAGGTGTCAGGGCCTCACCAGGCTAGGAATGTGAGTTAAGCACAGAGTTTTCCGTTTTTCTAAACCACTGAATTTGTCTTCTAACATATCTATTGCTTCAGTGAGTTGGGAGGAAATTAACCAGTGAGGTCACATTTGCAAAGTACTGGTAGGTATTTAAGTACAAGATCAGTGGAGGATAGAGTAGATCTGAGCAAGGAACGTGGCAGTGAAATGAATACAGAGGCAAGGGGAGGCCTTTAAATAGGTGATTCCTGAAGGCTGGCAGTGCAGCTTGGCTGTCTCCTATTGGCTTGAGATCTAGGGAAAGAAATGGTATAATATGTCCTAGAAAGGAATGCCTGTCATAGTCACAGGCCATCAGAAATTCCCTGTTTGGGAGAGAAAGAGTAACTTGAAGTTTTTCTGTCTGTGAGTAACACAGTTGAATACAAAAGAGCAAACTAAATTCCTAGGGGTGACCTTCGATATATACTTCCTATAGGCCAGGTATTATTCTAAACTCTTTATGTGTATTAACAGCTCTGAGAGGTAGGTTATCATTTCTATTTTACAGCTGAGGAAATTGAGGCACAGAGTGGTTTAGTAAATTGCCCATGGTCACACAGCTAGGAAGTGATGGAGCCACTGAAAATGCTTCCACCTTATTTTGCCTCACTCGAAAAAAAAACACTTAAATACATTCTCTCTACCTTCCTCAAATGAAACCTGTGGAAAGCATGCACCTTCTGAAAGGGAGAAATGGTTTAGTCGTGTCTTACAGATCAGTAATGTAACCTAGAATCAAAGCAAGTCTGATGTAAAATTCACGGTGGACTTCTCTGTTTCAGCAACACCCGTTTACTTGGTTGAATGTAGCCAAATTATTCCATCCCTGACGCATTTTTTTCCTGAAATCTCTAGAATGTCGGGGCAAAAGAATGTCATGAAATCAATGTCTCTATATAATTTCTTCAACTATGACAGAGTGTTTTACTCAGCAGTTGCCACTGGGTGACTATTTTGTTACTAGATAATCTGGTCTTTTTTTTTCAAAGGCCAGGCTCTAGAGAACACAGGCCCTAAAAGCCAGTTTGCATCCTGTGCCTTAAAGCAGAAAAATCCAAGTTGCCGAACTGTGATGCAATCAAGGCAGTTGGCTGTGGGGGAGGAGAACACAGGCCCTAAAAGCCAGTTTGCATCCTGTACCTTAAAGCAGAGAAATCCAAGTTGAATTAAAGTTAGCCCCGCCGGAGGTGTGCGGAGACTGGCTCTTAACCCCGTATCTGTCTCTCTCCTAGGCCATTGCAATCATGGAAGTAGCTCACGGCAAAGATCATCCGTACATTTCTGAGATCAAACAGGAAATTGAAAGCCACTGAAATGATGCCAACGTGGTAGCTTTTACTTAAATGCTAGTGCAGAAACCTTCAAGGATTTAAATATTTCAAATCACGTACATCACTCCAGCATTTCTGTAAAATCATTGCAGTACAAACACGGTTTGCACTTAAACCTTACACATGGCTTCCTGGGACTTGGTCTTAATCTTTAACCTTAATATCAAATTAATTTTTGAATGCTTTTTTTTTTCCTAAGACATAATGGCTTGGATTCACGTATTCTACTTTGGACAGCTTGAATTTTACAAATGCCACTCTTTTCCCCTTCATGCTTATTGTCATGTTCTGAACAAACCTGAATGATGACAGAGAATAAAAAAGGTAACAGTATTTGAAGTCTGTGTTTCCTCTGTCTGTGGGGAGGGTTTCAAAGAGGTGGTGTGGGAGCCAGGTCACAGCTGTTGTGCATCCCGCAACGAGGCCTCCCCCAGGAGGCGGCGTCAGGAGGCTCAGGCTTGCAGTTGCTTTAGGGGTACAGTGGCTATGGAGGAAGAAAGAGGGAAGGTGCAAGAAGGGAACCAAGGGAGACAAGGTAAGTGACCTGGGTTCCCCTCCCTGGCCGGAGAATATGTCAGCTTCGCTTCTGTCCAGTGCCTGGTCCCCCTTCAATGCATCGAGGAGCCTCACGCATGCTTCCCTCACCTGTCTGAAAGCAGACTTTATAGCTCTCATTCTGGTCCTTGTTCTATGCACTACTCTCCTTGTCAGAAAACACTCCAGAGGAACTTTGAGAAGAAAAAATTTTTTTCCTTACCAACTCTGTGTTGTTGAGCAAACACTGCTCAATCCCGGCGCGCGGCCAGCAGGAACCCAGGTTCCCCGTAGCCTGGAAGGCAGCAACCTGGGGATTGTTTATGAGCAATGGCTGCAAGGGAGCCCAGGCCCAGAACCAGGCGTGCTCCGGACACAGGGTGGTTTCTCCTTGTCCAAAGAGGGGAACTTCCCCGTTAGGTAATAGTTAAAGCCCGATGGAGTTTTCCCTTCAGCTTTTAGATTCATAATGTACACACAGCTTTTAAACCCGCCGCAAATCTGTTAACCTCTCTCATCGCCACACACACACCCACACAGTTTACTGCACACATGTAGGATGCAGTCTCTTGTCCAGTGAGGTGTAAGAAGGCATTTATTAAACATCTGCTGTATGCACTGTAGAGCTTTTTCCGTGTACAGAAGTCAGTAGAGTATTATCCTGGCTCCAAGGAGCTCCGTGTTTTAAGAATGCTGATACTCTGTAGCTGAGCCTAGAATAAGTTTAGACCACCATCTCTGTAGGTTTTATAAAAGTTATAAATGTAATACTTTTTCAATCAATTTAAAATAACACAAACATACCTGAAAAACGTGAGCTGTTCCTGCTTCCTCGCCAGCCCCACACTCCGCCTGAGGAACCGACTATAAATACTTTGCGAATGGGAACCCAATTTTCCCCATGCCTGTCCAATGTCTCTATATAAATAGATTTGGAGAAACAAAGGCAGAATGCTACTGACATTTTTTTGTAATCTCTGACTTAACAGTAAGAGCCTCTTTCACTTCAGCATTTACGGATTGGCTGGCATTCTTTTTAAAGGCAGAAGGTTACATTGAATGTGCATGCCATAATTACCCAGCCATTCTATTTACGGACATGTGGTTTTTCCAGCTTGCTGTTATTATAAACAATGCCACAATGAACAATCTCAGACAAATGGCTCTGCTGACGTGTGGTAGCATTTTGGGGGACAGATTCCTAGAAGTGGAATTTCAGGATCAAGCAGTGGAAACATTTTTTTCTTGGAATAAATATGGCCACGTTTTCTTTTTAAAAAAAAACCTTTCCGATACCAGTAAGAGATATTTGTAGCATTTGTTTTCCTCTACCCTCTTAACACAGTACTATTTAAAAAAAATGTTTGTCAATCTACTGTGTGGAAATATTTTATTTTATATGCATTTATTAATGAGGTTGGGTGCTTTTTCACATACTTAGGAATTGTGTTTCTTCTATGAGTTGTTATTCATGGAAATTGCCTATTTTGCTATTCATGTCTTTCATAAAAATTTGTAAGAGCTCNGTGGGATGTTTCCAAGCTACGTGGGCGGGCCAGTCATTTCCTTGACTCCAGAGCACCCCCTAGCGAGCTGCTGGAGATTTGCGAGCTCAGCCAGGAGAAGATGAGCTCCGTGTTTGAGGACAGCAACGTGTACATGTTGCACATGATGTACCAGGCCATGGGTGTCTGCTTGTACATGCAGGACTGGGAGGGAGCCCTGCGCTACGGACAGAAAATCATTAAGCCCTACAGGTGATTGCAATGGCCGTTCTGATCATCTTAGCACGGAATGGAACCTGGTGATTTGGAACGCGTACCTGGGCTGGTTTGGCTTCTCACCGCCCCATGCTGGAACATGCCCAGACCAGCTGTCTCTTCTTTGCACCCACACCTGGAGGCCCAGGTGCCAGGGCCCGCGCCATTGGGCCCGGCCTGTCCCCACCACCATCTGGGAGACACACCTAGGGAGGCAGGTTGAGGTTCTGCAGGGGTTGCTGGGGCAGGATCCGTCCCAGGACCAAACCAGACGCTACAGCCATTGCGCTTGATTCAGAACAGTAGTAAAAACCGCCAGTGTGTTTCTTTCCCCTTCCATGCCTTCCAAGTTAAGTGACATGTACTAATCGGTACAGGGTGGTCTCAGAACCCTCCTTTTTCCATCATGACTCACACCATCCCCTTCTTGTGCTTTTGTAAATTGCAGCCCAGTTTGCAAATGGGGAAATTCTGGGGCCAGTGGGTTGGCTGTGCTTATGCACTATCCCCACCTCACCCCAGTTTTGAATAAAACAAGTTGGGTTTTATCGTATAGTATTAATGACTGTCAGCCACGAGGAACGTTCCTGTTGAGACAGTTATTAAACCTTAAAGGTGGCAGGTGGAAGTCGTAGCACTGTCCTCTGACTCTGACTATCCACTTTGGGACTGAAGTAGCCTAGATCACATCCCTAGGGTGCTTGTTAAACACACTTACATTATGCATTGACAGGGTTCCCCCAAGACCAAGTGGATCAGGACCTGGGCCTGTGTTCCAGAAGCATCCCAGGTGTTTCTCGTGAACTTGAGAAGCCTTCAGTTCACTTACAAGATTAGGAACTGTTCAATTTGTGTCTAGTCTGAATTTCCACCACCAGGTCCACCCTCCCCTTTCCCCACGCTGCCCTGATGAGCCAGCAGGGGGAGCCCAAGGGGAAACCCACTCCTAAAATCTGCTCTTAGAAACATTTTGTCAATACATTGGGGATCATCTCAAAGCCTGTCCTTCTTCCTGGGGTGGGTGAGAAAGTTCTGTGGTCTCAGGCACACTTCCCTCTGTGAGATCTGGAGAGAGGCAGGGAGAGGGGACGAGGGGAGTGGGGGAGGGGGGGAGAGGGAGACAGGGAGAGAGAGAATGAGAATATGAGAGTGAGAAGGAATGCAATCATTTTAGCCTGTGGTGGCTCTCCCAGGAGCTTGCTGTGTTGGACCCTTGCTTAGCGTAGTAAGTCCCAGCTGTGGCCATCTGTGGGGCCACTGGCATCAGGGCTTTCCCCAGGCAGCGTGCTGCCCCACGCCCCACCCAGGAATACAGCCAGAGTGTGTCTCTTTTGGATGGATTTTGAGGGTACAGCAGCATAGACCAGCCTGTAAATAAACACCGATACACACAAATGACTCTTTCCTAGGCAAGCCTCACCAGTCAGCCTTCAGTGAAAACCACAGAGCGAACACCTACTATATGTATGTAAAGCCTTCTACTGCACAATAGAGAGAGAATATCTAGAAGAAATAGGATGTGTTCTCCTAACTTCACACAGCTTATAGCATTTGCCAAACCAAGTGGTATCAGAGTGTGACAGAAAGCTGGGGTCTTGAGACACTGGTGTGTTTATATCCTTAAGTATACCGTCTTTTCCATATAAGGGGATAAGCCTAATATCCTTATAATAAGGAATTTACCGTACACAATGTTTTCCTAATGCCCTGCTTTGGGTGCACCTCAAACAAAAATGTGGGACTAGGATCGAATGTTATAAATGTTTCTGTGTAGGATTTATCCTGCAGTTTTTATGTAGGTTTTCAGAAACACGCAGACTGCATAGCATGCAGTGCATTCGTGGTGGTTGGACAGGGTCGACACACCCACACTCCCCACGCAGAACCTGCCAGGGTGCGGAGAAGCTTGGCTGCCGTGGAGCACGTGGCTGTGAGCTCCCCAGCCGTGGGCTTACCGCGCCCAGCCCGCGGGGCTGCTTGGCAGCTGTTGACAGGGTGGCCTGTTGTCTCTTCTCTCCTTCCAGTAAGCATTACCCTTTGTACTCCCTCAACGTGGCCTCCATGTGGTTGAAGCTAGGAAGACTCTATATGGGCCTGGAGAACAAAGCGGCCGGAGAGAAAGCCCTGCGGAAGGTATGTGTGTGGTGAGGGGTTAGGCTCCCCGCTGCCCGGATGGCCTCCTCAGCACCCTTCCTTCATCCCTCAGGAGGCCAAATGACTGAACTGGTGGCGAATGACCAGCTCTTGACCCACCTTGTGGCCACAGAAGTGGGAGGAGTGGGGTGGGTTCGGCAGATGGGCGCGGTGTAAGTAACTGAGCCGTTGCCAGGTTGGCTCCAGGCCCTCCNGCTTCTGATAGCTTTGCCGTCAGAATGTCTAATTTGAATTCTGACTCCTGTGCGCCCACTCGTTACTTATGTGCCCTTGAACACGTATGTAATCCTTCATCTCTCTGAGCCTCAGTTCCCACATCTGTAAAATGGGTTATGCCAGAGTAGCGTTGTGGACAGATGAGGGGGAAATACGTAGCACCTAGCACAGCGCCTGGTGCAAAGTAAGTGCTCAGGGTAGGCTAGTTTTCAAAAGCACATCACTGACCTGAAATGTACCAGTGCAGTGTCTCCGGTGTGCAAGGACATGGTCCCAGCCCACGGCGTCAAATCCTTCAGCGCGCCTGCCCCACAGATAGCCTTCCTAGCAGCTGGGAGGAGCAGGGGCCTCAGCTTTTGTTGCTTGCTTTGGACAAGTCACTGCTCCTCTGTGACCTGTTTCAACATCTCAAAAGTAAAGCGGCTGAGCCCCCTCGCCAGCTCTGAAGCTTTAGATCCAAATGAAAGCACCCACTTAACTGTCTCCCAATAGACTGGGTGTTCCTTGCGGGCACAGAGTTTGGCCTGTTCATTCTTTTGTGCACAGTGCCCGGTGCATAAGGGTTCTCAATGGATGAATGTCTGTGAAAAGAATGAATTCATGGAACAGCATAAAGTCGGGGATGTGTATTCCTCAGTTTTAGCCTGCTATCTCTAAGCTAGACTTCCAGATTGGTGAGAGTTGCCCTTAGTACTTTTCAACATAACATCGTCTTTTTAAGGATGAGGCAGTGGCCAGTGGTCGATTTGAGTGAGACGTGAAAGGAAGGCCTCACTCAGCTCCTCAGCTTCAGGCCAGGCCCCCTTCCTCTCAAGGAGATGGGTAGCAGTTAGATCGGGCGTGTAAGGGCTTTCTTATTTACCACCTCACCTTATGAGATAGGTACCAGATTAAGTGACTTCTACTGGGAGAAAGTCAAGGACAGGACTATGATGGGTCAAGGTCACACAACAGATCTGTGGCGTAGTTGGGATCAGACTCCAGGATGCTAAGTCCCACGCAAATATGCAGTCTTTAGTCCTTGGACCTTAGTGGTCTGTGTCGTTTTTGGCCACCGCGTGTAGACNTTATTGTTTTGTCTCTACATTATATGATAAGATTACTTTTTCTATTTATCAACCAAAGAAAAGAAACAGAGTGTATTAACTCAGTCCATGATAGATAAAACAAATTAGTGCCTATCCTAATTTCTTGTCATTCTACTGGACTTCTCTCCATTTTCATTGGCATTTTGTCTATTATCTTTTTTTTTTTAATGTCGTGACTTTTTTACAAGAACTCTAATTGTTTCGGAGCCACAGTCACCATAGACATGGAAATATTCATGCGTTTAATAAGGTTTATTTGCCACCTCCTTTCACCCAGAGTGGCTTCAGTATTCTCCTTTTCATGATGTGAAACAAGTTAGGAACCTCTGATGTGCGAACAGCTCCTTGTGTAGTGATAGGGTTGTAAATGGGTTGCTTGCAGAAGTGGTGATATTGCCTTGTGGCTTATCCAAGATACATAAAGGAAGTGTCCACCTTCCTCACCAGGGGTTCATTGTGTATGTCTATGGCGGTTGATGGGCTGAAAACATAGGAGGCAGGGCAGCCATCTTTAAAGCTAGAGATGAGTTGCGCCGTTAGTGAAGGCGAAAGACAAAAACAAGAATTTGGGTCTTTAGCAGCCTGGTGCCTGTCTTCTCAAGGTCAACAATTTGGGATCTGAGTAAATGACAGTTGGCAGAAGGGACTTGGCCCTTAATAAGGGTCATGATTGCATTTGTGAGACGGATCCATTTCTGTGTCTTCTTTACTCCATTGGCCTACCGATCACCCCCTTTCAGGTTTTTTCTAATCTTGACAACTCTGCAAATGTCAAACCAATTCTTCAGTATGATCAAGTTATACAGGAATGAAAAGGGGGTAGAAATAGGCTTTAAACAACTGAGAAAGCAAATGTTCCCAGGCACTTGAGCCTATGAAAATAATCCCAAAAGTAAGAGAGAAACTCTTTCAACTCATGCAGACACACATAGCACAGAAGAGAGAAAATTCAACTGTTTTCTCTGAAAAAAAAAAAAAGGTTTATTGCATATGTAAATCAATAGATATCTTTTACAAAAAAAGTTAGAATAAAGATCTCACATTTGTAAAGGCACATATGAAACATTATACAGCAAAGACAAGAAGAGTGAGAACATACACAATACTCAACTAGGACCAGTATCTAAAGACGACTTTATAAAAACAGGAAACAGTGCAAAAAATACTGTCAAAAGTCAGTTTTATACACCTCATAACAGTGTATAAAACTGCCAAGCATAAGCTTATTTACTGATATAAAAAAGCACATAGAAAATAGCATGCATAGTTTAAGGCTTTTAATATTAAATTGAGAGGGAGTCTATAACAAAGTAGAGTTCATATGAATATTGATAAAACACTCCCCAACCTAGGGAATGTCCAATAAACATCTCACTCCCTCTCTCCCCTTATAAGTTGGTAGCAGACATTGGACTTGCATCTTGCAAGGTAGCAAGTGGCTACCATGGAGAGAAGAATGTGTTCTCAGGATCCCAAGTCCCAACCTGGAATGCATTTCTCACAGCAACAACCTAACAGGTGGTTAACTTTCCAGGTCAGCCCACAATGGCAACCAGCTCTGGCTGACATATCCCTACCTTTCAGCGGTGCTGAAATCTGAGGGCTTCTGTGGGCTGACCCAAGAACCTTAAGAACAAACTGGCTTCTAAGCTGGGGACTTGTCTGTACATCGTTTAGAAAGGAAATCTATTAAATGTCCATGGTTGTGAAAGAATACCACAATTGGCAACATTTCCTAAAACACATACCAAGGAAAGCATCAAAATACTGAATTAAGTAGTTTAACAATAGTCCAACGAAACAAACTAGATGAGCCTTAGTTGATGCAACACAAGTTACGTAAGGTTATATGTTTAATAGTCATCTGCATATGTAAACCTTTTTTTTCCCCAAGAATCCTCAAGCAAGGTAGCTGACTACGAAAAGGAGACAAGGACATACACAGAAAATCATCTCTGATGAAGAGTAACCTTCTGAAACAGTAAGGTTAATAGATTTGTAAGATTCCAAATAGTGGCAAGAGAGTTCAAAGGGAACTGCCGTAACATTTTACAATGTTCACGTTGGGAAAAAATAAAATGGCTCTGAATTATAGCTTTCAGGTCTAGTCTGAAGGTATTTATTAGCTAACACTGCAGTTGAGGGAGATGGGAGGCCCCTGAGAAATGCTGAGAATGCCAGGTACCCCCCTGCTCTGAGAGCTACCCTAGCTAAACTCAAAGCAGGATTCCTGAGATTTTAGCAAAAGAGTTCCACCCCAAGGCACAAAAAGACCCCAACCCAGTCTTTTCTGCTTTCTCCTAGAAACCTGTTGTCAGGTGAGAAGGCACTTGTGTTTCCCTGAAGGAAGAAAGTGGGGAAGAAAGAATAGGCTAAGCTACAGATTGGATCAACAGCTTACCTTGCCTCTCCCTAGATAACAGAACTGATACAACTTGTAAATATTCCCGGGGAGCCCGGAGCTTTCCGTTTCACCGGATCGGCCAGTCTGTGTAAAGAGGCTCTGATGAGGGGAACATGGTTCAGGAAGATGCTAGAAACAATCTGACTACACATGCGACTAGGCCAAATGCAGATACTGTGATTCTATGTAAGTCCACCTTGAAATAACACGTAGTGCTGCGATCATCACTTGAAACAGGACTGATAATCAAATCCATCTTTTCTTTCATCTCTTCTGGTACCCAGTGAGGGTCTATCACCAAGGGGGGAAAAAAGGGCAGCATCTTGGTGGCTGACAGCTTCCGAGCCATGTTCATTCTGGCTGTTTTCATCTGCCAGATCTTACTCCTTGAAACACTGTAAGCTTTAAACGTTACAATTACATTTCTTGCTTACATCATGTGGAGACGTTCAAGGGTGATTCTCTGAGTAGATTGAACTATTTTGTAGGGGTTGCATGAAAAGGGTAGGGAAAGAAAAAGAAAAAGTGTGCTCATGAGAGCTGGACCATCAAGCAAATGAAAAACAAGGAAAGGGCAGCACAGCCCCACGTGACTGAGGTGCTCTTGGAATGAACAGACGACATTACAAAATAGTCCCGCTCAGCCCCCCACAACGAGACAAGGCACAATTGTAGTCACTGTACTGACATCCTTGCAGTTTTGGTGCCCTGATTGATACACACCCCTCCTCTAAAGGGGAATATACTCTGTAGGCCCCTGGGACGGCAGGAAAGAGGAATCAAGAGGCACACGAGCTGTGATGCTAACTCTTGGGGCCTCATGGGTGAGCACAACGCTTGGCGAATAAGGCTACAAGGAAAAGGAGGGCCACCAGCAAGCGAGGCGGGCTGGGGTTCCTAAGTAGCAAATCCAGGCAGCCATCCGAATCCATGACACCATCAAGCTGCATTGCAACAGCGAGGACACAGCCTGAAGCCATGAGCAAGGGTGACACACATCCCAGCGAGCGCTGCAACTGTCTTTCTGAGAGGTTCCACTTCATAATTTGCATCCTTCCGGCCTCGCAGAAAGGGAGGTACAGTGTAGGTGTAGAGCCATTCCAGAGTTCAGAAAATTATTTGTGAATCAAGGAAAGTTTTGATAGCAACTTCAGGGCTGATCGATTGTCAAAACCCTACCTCCTCCTCTCCCCACGTATTGCTCCTCTCTCCGCAAGCTTATGGCACTTTCTGGAAAGAATGATCCTGATGGTCCAAAGTGTGGCAGAAGGAACAGTGACTTTTTATGCAGATGCCTGTCAGAGTTGCGCTGCACATCAGCTCTGGCTCTCCTGCCTTATAACTAAACGTCCTTGAATTTATTTTTAAAATGGGAGAGCTGGCCGAAGCTCTAAACAGTGGGGACTGATGCATGTCCTCCTCTTTACGGC